GGACAACAGCAGCGCAAGGCTTTTAGTTATCAACTTTATATTCAAGAGGAAAAGCTGCTTTCCCTAAAATTGAACCTGAGGGTATAGGGTTGACTTGTATGCAAGTTCAACTTATAATTGGAACAACAGGGTCAATACATATCCACATCCTAAGAACAGGCAAGTAGTTAAACTGAATGTTTTGTAGAAAGGTTAGTTAACAGGTGAGCTGTAATTTCAGCATAGACCACGGGAGGGAGACTAGCCACCATTCTAGGAGGTCGGAAAGTAGGGGTGGGTTGGGGAAAATACTGTTGTGCTTTGTAAGTAGTGGGGAACCTGTTGGGTTGTTAGAAAAGCCCACTGCAAAGCACCACAAGGCAAATCACAGTGTGACTGAGCTGAGCATCAGGAAGCCCTAATCAAGGAAATTAGGGATGGACTTGGAAAAGCAGCTATGGCTGTTTGACGTATTGTAATAAATTGCTTTGTAGCTTCAGGTGATTCCGCTATTTGGGATGTTTTTCCTCTCTCTAACCAACCTGTTTTCATGTTGTGCTAAGCCAGCATCCCTTTATTCTCAGTGCATGAGACAGGCCAGCAGCAGCAGGGTGAAGAATGAAAATAAAAGAAATGGGATGTGTGTTAAATGATATCGTGTTGTTATAGTATAGCATCACCATGATTTTCATTGGGTTCGTGGATTCATAGATTAAGTTTAGATGACACTTCTGGATCTGGTCTGACTTTTTAAAACTTTATTTATTAATTACCGGAAAGTGCTTGTTCTTCGCCTGGGTTGTTATTTTTCCTTGTGCCGTTCCACTGTTTCTTCATTACTTTGTCGCTCTTGTGCCTGCGTGTCTTAGATGATCTTCTGCAAGATGTTCTACCTTTTCAACATTAGTTTCTCTAGCTCGAGGCAGTATTTCTTATGCGATGAGCAGCAAGACGCTTTATTGTTTCCTCATTAGTTTCTGCAGCTCTTGAGGCAGCATTTCTTATGCGAGTCATGGAAAGATGCTCCACTCTTTCTTCCTTTTGGTTGGTCTTGAAGCAGCATTCCTTCTACGATTATTCGCAAGGCGTAGGTGACTTTTCTTCATAACTTTCTTGCAATCTTATATTTTGCATCCTTTATGCAGCAGCTGAAGTGCCACTAAGAGTTGAAGTCCTTTTCCCTGGCGTTTTCTGTATGATTCTTTATGCAGAGCAAATTGATAACTAGTGGGAAAAAAAGGGGAGGAAAAGAAACCCTGAACCAATGGCCAGAGGGCTATGGTTGCCAAATGGCAGAAGTAACTTTGTTTGGAGATGTTAGCCAAGGATGTATAATAATGACAGTTTTATTGTAACCCTGGTGTCAGCTCAGCTTAATTTGAAAATGATATGACCAAAATTTCTCCCTGTAAGACGTGACACCACTTTGAGAGGATCACTTTAAAATCACAGCTTTAGCAAAAGTGGTGCAACTTTAAATATTGATGATGCCTAAAGAAGAGAATGGAAACAAATGAGGGATCTTCTTTGGTTATGAATATTACTATCCGATGCAAGACTCAAAGGGGCCTCCTCAGCCACTGAATCCAGTCTAATGACAGTTGGACAAAATACCTTGCAGTGTATTTGACAATGATTTGTTATTGGGACTCTCCAGTTTGATTTAATTTTGTCAGCGGACACACAAACCAGTTTGAAATCACATGATCCTAGCCATATGTACATGAAAGACCTAAAGTTCGAACGGGCACGTGCTCTCTTAGATTTAGGAGATGAACTAGTCCCAGTGCTGTACTAGTCAGTAAAGTTTCTTCTTCTAGAGCGCAGGGTCATTTATTAACCTCCGTTCCCATGAGTTGTTCTGATGATCAATCCTGCAGGTTAGCTCCAAGTAACAGCGGCGATATCAAGGCTATTTGAAAGGGTTCTTCATCTGCAGTTTGC